TGTTTTTCTCCATCCATCATGATGTTCCATGTATGGCTCTTCATAAATTACAGATAGCATTTAGAAGAATGAAAATTCCAAAATTCTTATGTTTATTCTCTCCACATAACTCAATGTTGGGTAGTTACAATTAACCTTCTAAAGAGAAAAGGAGGTGGTAGGATAAAATATCAACCACTGATTAATTTTAACACGATTGATTGGTTCCCAGGAAGTCCCTGCCCCTTACTGCTATAAACTGACATCAGGTTACCTGGTGGTCTCTAGCTTGGTGGGAGGTGGGTGAAAGGATACTGGGTGGTCTCTGGCCTGACCGACTGGGGGGCATTCATTTGTATAAGCCTGTAGGTATGGGGGTTTTGCCTAATAAAGACAAGTTACCCTGGTAACAGCATACTTGAAAAAATTACTCTGGAAAACCTGTCTATTTGCATACTTATGAGACCTCTTGCAATTAATGTAGCACAGTCTTTTTCATTAAATCACTAAGTGGCGGGCCTGTCATTGACTACAGGCAGGCAGTTCCCTGGTTACAAACGTCTGACTTACAACACCTCATATGTACCCTTTAATGTTGTGTAAATTCGCCCTCACGTTGAAACTCACAACGAATTCATCACTATAACCACCTTCGATTGCTGCACATGTAGCTTTTAAATTATGGAAAAGGTTTTCAGCCTTTTCTTACACTAAGGTAAGGCCAAAGGAGAACTGTATGCAGCAGCTTTTACCTTTAAGTCCAGTTTAAAAGGAATCTTCTTTGTAAGCAGAGAACTCCGTCTGCTCTCTTCAGGGGAGTAGGAGAGCAAGTTAACAGTGCTACAAAGTGAAGTAATGGCTCCAGGTGGAAAGCAGGTTAATAAGGCTACAGGCAAGATTAGTTCAGGATCATGTTTTTAGCTGTTCATTTTGGACTTAAGACTAAGAACTAAAAAACCCCACTGCTGTAGAACTGATTCTGACTCAGAGCGACCCTCTAGAACAGAGTAGAATTGTCCCCTAAGGCCTCTAAGTCTTTCTGTCTTTTTAGAAGCAGACTGGTACATCTTTCTCCCTTGGAGCAGCTGATGGATTTGAACAGCTGACCTTTTTGGTACTTGAGTGCTTTACTAGTGCACCACGAGGGCTCTTTGTCGGTTATAGAACCCCTTGATCAAAGTAAAAAAAAATCTGTTTATAATTTTATTTCAAGGACGTATCATTATACTTTTTGCTTTATACATGAAAAGAAAGATGTAATGATTACAGTTTTAAATATTTTAGCAAATTACTATGAGATCTGGCAGCACAGTGGTTAAAGCACTTGGCAACTAACTGAAGGGTGAGTGGTTCAAACCTACCTGAGACTCCCTGGGTGGCAGAGCCCTGGTGACCTACTCTCATAAATATTGTCCTTCTTATTGTTGGTAGGTGCTGTTAAGTCTAATACGACCCACAGCAACCTTATGAATAACAGATTTTCACCTTGGCCCAACCTGTGCCTTCCTCACATTCCCGACACACTAGAGTCCATTGCTGCAGCCACTGTCAGTCCACTTGCTTGAGGGTCTTCACCTTCACCACCCTCCACCTTTCCAAGCATAATGCACCTCTCCAAGGAATAGCCTTTCCTAGCACTATGCCTGAAGTATGTGAGATTAAGCTTTATCATCTTTGCCTCCAAGGAGCATTCTGGCTACGCTTTCTCCACAACATATTTGTTTGTTCTTTTGGCAGTCCATGGAATGTTAAGTGCACTTCTCCAACACCACAGCTCAAAAGCATCAATTCTTCTTCTGTCGTCCTTATTAATTATCAATTATTCTAATTTGTACAGCACTTGTCTGTCAGTTTGCTGTACTGAGTAACTTGTGGGTTGCTGTGACACTGAAAGCTATGCCATTGGAGTCTCAAATGCCACAAGGATCACCCATGGCAGACAGGTTTTAGTAGAGCTCCCAGATTAAGACAGACTAAGAAAGCAGAGTTGGCCATCCGCTTCTTGAATAACAGGCCTCTGAAAACCCTGTGAACAGTAGAGAAACATGTACATAGTATTAGGAGGTATCTTGTTGTTGTTGTGTACCATAGAGTCGGAACTAACCCATAGCTGGTTCTCCAGTGGGTTTTCAGAGGCAGTGAATCACACAGAAGGAGATTGCCCATCCTCCTGTGGAGCAGCTGGTGACCTAGAACTGCATGTCTTTGGGTATGCAGCACAGCTCCTTGCCCCTAAGCCACCAGAGCTCCTTATTAGAGGTATAGTTCATAGATATTACAGCCTAGGGAACTCTGTGTGGGATCGGTTCTTTTCTGACCAGGACTTCCAACCAATTTGACTCTCTGCATTTCCAAAGAAGTGTGTCTGGTATGAAATGCAAATTCTCCACAGGGAGACCAACCAGAATGAACTAGCTCAAAACTCTGGAATCAACTGGAAGGCACACACACCCCACAACACCCACCTTCTCAGTGATGTCAGGAATCAGCAGTGATTCATAGATCACACTCTGGAAATGCTGCCGAGTTTAATAATGAACAGGAGACAGTGACTGCAAACGAAGACCTTCATGAGCAGCTCTGGTACTGGTTGTTGTTAGGCGCCATCAAGTCGAGTCTGACTCATGGCAGCCCTGTGAACAACAGACGTGAACCCTGTCCTATCCTGTGCCATCCTCATCATCTCTCATACTCTTGAGCCCATTGCTGTAGTCACTGTATCAATCCATCTGGTTGGGGGTCTTCCTCTCTTTCACTGACACTCCATATTTCCAAGCATATCTCTCTCCAAGGAATAACCTTTCCTAGCAACATGCCCAAAGTATGTGAGACGAAGCTTTGCCATCTTTTCCCCCATAGAGCACTTTGGTTACACCTTTTCCAAGACATATCTGTTTGTTCTTTTGGCAGTCCGTTGGTTATTCAGTACTTTTCTCCAGCACTACAACTCAAAGGCATGAATTCTTCTTCTGTCATTCTTATTCATTGTCGAGCTCTCAGATGCATAACTAGTGATTGAAAAGACCTGAGTCAGGCAGACCTTAGTCTTCAAACAGCGTTACTTTTCAGTATTTTGGAGAATTTCTTGAAAGCAGACTTGTCCAAAGCAATGTGTCTCTTGATCTCCTGATTCCTGGTACCGAGGATGTTGACTGTGGATCCAAGTAAGATTAAATCATTGACAGAGTTTCAGTCCTTTCTCAACTATCATGATGTTGCCTGTTGGCCCAGTGTTGATGTTGCTATTTAATCCATATTGAAGGCTGTGGTGATTGATTTTCTGCAACAGGTGTTTGGCAGCATCCTTACTTTCAGCAAGCAAGGTTGTGTCATCAACACAAGTTGTTGATTGAAGAGTCTTCTTCCAGTCCTGATGCCGCATTCTTCTTCACAGAGCCCAGCTTCATGAATTTGTTCAGATTCAATAGATATGGAGAAAGGATGCAGCCCTGGTACCAGTTAGCACCTGCCAACACTCAGCAATTTCTTTTACCCTGTCCTCTGTCATCTTTCCATTTGAAATCAGAACATGTTTATGTCCCTCTGTGCTCTGTCAAGTCACTGTGAGAGTCAAATGAGAGGATGTATGAGAAATGCTGCTTCAAAGAAAGGGGGAAAAGCCAATGGATCTCCATTGATGGAAACCTGTGTTGCAGAGTAGAACTGTCTGTGGAGGTTTCGAGGCTGTGACTTTTGGGAAGCAGATTGCCAGGCCCACCTTCTGAGCTGTTTCTGTGTGGGTTTGAAATGCCAGGTTTTCAGCATCTTGTCAGGCACTTAACCATTTGCTACACTTGGGGATTCCTACAATGCTTTTAAACTCAAAAGCCCATTGCCATAGAATTGGAACTAACTCATGGCCAACCCTCCATTGGATTTGTAAGTTTGCAGATCACATACAGGGAGGTTTCCCATCTTTCTCCCAATGGGCTGCTGAGTGGCCTTTAGGTTACAGGTGCTGCACCCTGAGGACCAGACCACCTGCTACACGATGTAACCACAAATAATGTGACGTTTCCTCCTGCTTTTCTCCTCCTTCTGCTCTGTACCACAATTGATCAAGACTTTATCATAAGGGTTTAAGAGCTTGCACTATGTTATCCATCTAGATCTGGCTGTACCCCTCCGTGGCTGCTCAGTCTTGAGCAATTTACTTAATCTCTCTAAGCCTCAGTGCCTTGCCCACAAAATGGGGATAATGATAATACTAGTTCACATGGTTGTTTTGAGGATTTGATCAATCTCCTGTCTGGGGAGATACAGTAGACTTACTGAGCAGATGAGTGCTGGGAGCAGTCAGACCACAGAATGTAGTGCAGCAATCATATTTTGATTGTTGGAGCAGATGGGATTGTATTTCTGTAACCTCATCTGTTTCTGGAACTGTGAGCGTGAGCCTGTGTGTGCGTGTGTGTGTGTGTGTGCACACGCACGCGCAAGTTGAGGGGGTGGCAGCCCCTTCCTCAAGTGTTCAGGAGTTCCAAGCTTTCCACAGAGACTCAATGCAGAATAAGGAGGAGGCTGACTGGGGTACTGCCAAGACAAAAAATGCTACCATCTTTGTAGCTGAGCTTGCAACTGAAGGGGGGACTGTGGCTGCTTTGTTCCAGGTGTGCTGCAAAGCATGCTGGGAGGGTCCAGGGCGGGGCTGGGCACTAATGGAGGGGACAAGTGGCAGGTGTATGTTCTCCCATAAAGACCAAGGCTCAGAAAGCTGCAACAACCCCTTGCCCTTTCTTAACCAGTAAGACAGAAGGGCCTGAATATAAGCATCTTTAGAAGGTAATTCTTTGGCCCAGGCTAACTCGGAGGACCCAGAAAAAAACAGGGCAGAATATGAATCCACCAGGAAAATCAGCAGCTGCCCAGATGCTGAAAACCTTAGAGAAATAAAAGAGAGGCCTGAGGGAATTGGGGCAGAAGCCAAATGACCTCTTAAAAAAGAAATTGTAGCACGGAGCGGCTGTGATTGCCTTTTTCCCTTCAGGAGTCTGATTGCGCTTTCTCCTTCTCCCTTACAGAAAATGAAGGAGTACCTGGAGGGCAGGAACCTCATCACCAAGTTACAAGCCAAGCACGACCTGCTCCAGAAAACCCTGGGAGAAAGTGAGTGTGGGAACTCGGCCAGAGGTTTGGCAGGCTGCGTCGTTGGCCCAGTGGGCCTAGTCTTGTTAGAGGAATCCGTTTCTTTTCCTAGCCTGTTTGATGTGGGAGCACACACCCCAAATGCCTGCGTGAGTAATGAGAAGAGGCCGCTGCTTAATGAAGCACTAATGTGCACCATCCATTTGTTTAAATGGAGCATGCCTGTGCTCCACCCAGCCTCCCACCCCCCTGCTGCTCTCCTGCCCTGTCTGGGGCGAAGGGACTGATGGGTTATTTACTCTCCTGACGCTTTGTTAAAAACCCCAGCTCCTCTGTGGCAGGACTGAGGCTGGAGCCAGAAAGTAGGGAGATGAGCTGCACAGCTGCTCTGAGGAAAGGAGCCATCTCGATGGTGGGGGTGATGGACAACTGCAGCTTTGTGAAGCTTCAAGTCTGAGTAGCAGTTCCCTTCTGCCCTGGAGGCCCCTGGTGCTGGTGAAGTGGCCGCTCTGTCTCTTTGGGCTCTTCCGCTTGGAGGCCGTGTTGTTGAATGGACTGTCTCAGCCTGTCTGGTAGGATGATTTGAACCAGATCCTGGAAAGTAGCAAGGCCCGGGACTGGCCTGGCACTCTGGACTTTCTCCCCTCAACTGTCAAACAGAAGGAGAAGGTTAAAAGAGAAGTTTCCCCGGGGTTTTTGGCACCCTGCCCAGGTCTCCTGCCTGGCTCTCAGCATCCTATGATTAATGGGATTCCCAGGTCGGGGATTCCTGCTCCCTGCCCTGCTACTTTCCTCACCTAAAGATGGCAGGGGAGGCAATAGGGAATATGTGGTGACATCAGTGAAAGGCAAGCCTGTGCTCAGCGTCGTGATACAAAGTCTCAAGCTCACGTGCACAGTACTCATTGCTGGTTAGCCCCAGGAACCGGAGCTCCATTCATACCAGGGCCTCCTGCCCACCCTTCTCCTGCCTGTCTACATCCCCCAGATGATTTCATTCTTCTTCTCCGGGTGCCTTTGATCTTGTGATGATTTTTTTAAAGACATTTTATTTTATGTAGGGAAGGTTTGATAGGTAACTCTTAGTCTCTTCTTTCCCTGTCACCCAAGGGACTCAGTCAGACTGAACAGGTTTTGGCATTGAGAGGCAAACTTTGCTATAGGAGATCTTATTCTCGGGTTATGGACCGCTCTTTGGGGAATTGGAGGAAAGCCCAGAACTATTTGAAGCCAGTTATGGCTGTAGTTTCCTTTTGTCCATAAGTAGCTAGGAGCAGGACCTTAGATCATGCGTGGGTGTCATATGAAATGTACACACATACATGCAGCAAAATGTTCCACTGAGGAGGGGTGAATGTTGGCCACCATTCATTAGGGCTCCAAATTGCCTTAATCTAAAGATGACAAATGCCAGCAACAAGGGAGGAACAGAGAGGGACCGCTGCGGATCTTCTTATGTCAAGTCATCATGTCCCTGCCTTCCATATGTATTTGTCACCACAATTCCAGAGACCCTTGTTCTTGCCTCAGAGGGATAATTGATGTGTATGAATATTCCAGAATGGAAATGGAACAGATGTTGAAAATAATGGCTCAGAATAATATTTTTTGCAGATGAAAGCAGAGCCTTTGTTAATGAGTAAGCTGTTGGGGCTGGGAGAGAGTGGTGTTTGAGATGAGGTGAACTGAAATCAACAATTAGCATCCTCTAAAGTCAGAGAAACTGCCCTGCCCTGGCACCTCTGCTCCTTTGGGTTACCTTTCGAGGAGCTTGGGCACTGAGGGTCAGAGCTGACCTTTCTCCCTCGGCTGGATTTTTCCTGCTCATCTGATACGAATCTAATACTTGTATCAGCGCCTCCCTCACCACCATTGTCCACAGAGAGCAGTACATCTTATATCGCAGCCCGTGGACACGTGCATATGAATTTCTTTTAAAATATAAAATCACTACTTATGAATTTTAATGTTATCTCTTCGATTTTTTTTGAAGCTATTTGTGACCCATTTAATTTTGTACTTGGGCGTTTGCTTTGAGAACAGCAGTTTACAGCAGTATCAGCCTTTGATTCCAGTTCGGCCTAACTGAAAAATTTAGTATGAATCTAAAGCTAACACGTGTGTATCTTCTCTCTATCTGTAAACACTCCTTTTTCCAACCATGTGAATTTTCATCCACTCAGGAACGAACGGGATTGTCCTCACCCTCCCTAGACGTACGAGAATCTGAGTATATCTCTAGGAAGACTTCTAATCATTTGTTGTAGAAAACAATACTCAGCCTTGCTGTTTCCTTCCACTCCTCTTTTCCTTCTAGAAAGCAGTGTTGGCAATTCCAGATGCTAACAGTACCGAGTTGGGAACGAGCATCAGGAAAAGAACCTGCCTGGGAAGAGGCTCTGTACCCTTCTCTTTGCTCTGGATGCACAGACTCACACTGTTACACTAGGGACTCTGGGAAGTGGGGTCTACTACCCACCAGTTTCTGTCCTGTTTATTCTGACTCCAGGCAACCCCCCCCCATGTTAGAGGAGAACTGCACTCTGCAGGGTTTTCAGTGGCTGAGGTTTAGGGACTAAATCACCAGGGCTTTGTTCTGAGGGGCCTGTGAGTAGACTCACACCTTCAACCTCTTGGTTAACAGTCAACATTTTGCATCAGGGACTCTGGGAAGCAGATCAATGCATAATAATTCCTAGGAATGAGTCTTCCCCACCTACTCCTTCTGCTTCAACATGTGCTCTTTGTTTTTTTATTTCTGACAGGTCAGCGGACAGATTGCAGTCTGGCCAGGTAGGTGTGGTCTGGGCAGACCTGGGAAGGGATGATGAGAGGACCAGGGGTAGAGTCATTCCAGCCTGGGAAAGAGCCAAGGAATTGAGTTTGGAAAAGCCTTTGGTGATTTTGCAAAGGATTGGCCTAGTCAGGGGCTGCTCCCTACCCTCTGCAGCCTTGCTGACCCCATCTGGTCTGAAGTAGAAACAGGCTGTGTTGTGAGCTGAGCAGAACTGAGGTGTTATCACTTGCTGAAATAGGCCTGACACGCCCAAAAGCTTATATTGCAAGAGAAAGAAACATTTGACTCTGGAAAATTCTGTTTTCCTAACCTTAAGAGATTTGACGTTAATATTTGGGCTTTGAGGAGCCTCTGTCCCAGAGAAGGAAATAGCTTTTGATCTGAAATTTTTTTTGGGGAAAAAAAAAAGCTTGGAAAAATGGCAGGTCCTAATTAATGACTGCTGCTAGATAATGAAATATTACATCGCATTGCCTTGCCAAACAGCACTGAGAGAAACCCTTGCATGATGAACAAGTCTGCAGCCCTCCCAGGCCTTTCCCATCTTCCCCTCCCACCCCAACAGGGCCAAATATTTTTCCCTCCCTGTCACCGTGTTGCTATTAGAAAACTCTGTGAGCTGGCGGAGAGCAGAGCAGTCATGCAGCCAACAGTTCTCAGATGCCTAAAAATGTGCTGATTTAACCGAGGAAAGAGCTTTAATGGGCTGGACTCCTTTGAGACCCAGGGTTAGCCCATTATATCAACCACTTATATCTGCCAACACACACAATAATCATGAGGCCATTTACAATTATAGGCTCATTATTTAGAAATAGCTTCATTTGGCTTTCATCGTTTTGTGCTTGTGGATCACAATAAAGATCCTATTAGTGTACAGTGTACTAGTCTTGATGGCTGGAAGAGGCCAAGATAAGGATTCTGTCTTCTCAATGATGGAGTCTTTCTGACTTAATGTAAGTTCCCCTAAAGCCCTGAATCTTGCAGAAGACCATGTGGAAATCAGAAGAATCAAATTCTGAACTGAATTCCCTGTTGCTGTGTGACCTTGGACTACTCTCTTCCCCTTTCTGGGCCCCAGTTTGCTCATCTGTAAGACAAGAGAATTATACTAAATCCAGGGAGCCCTAGGGAGGCAAAGAGGGTCCCTTAGAAATCATCTGGTAGAGGGACAGAGAGTGGCCAAGCAGCCTGGTTCTGGTCCCTGCGTGCTGAGCATGGCTGTCCTTCGGAGTCAGATTCCTTTTGAGAAAAGGCTTCTGAGGCTAAACACAGCTCGAAAAACATTGCCCTAGAAGGCCGCCAAGATTCTTCCCATCTGGATGCTCCACCTTCCAAAGTGCAGAAAAATTGTTCCCTATCTGTCCCCTACGAATTTCCAAGAGAAAGAAAACTGCATCGTCCGTTAGTGTTGGCTTCCAGATCCTCTTGCCTAATCCAAATTCACCTTACTGAAAATTGAGCCACTTTTCTCCTGTGCTGATCTGAATGATGGTGGACGCGAATAGCAAGACCCTCCATGCCTGTGTGATGATAGGAGCTGTGTTGGCCTCTATTTGGAAAATCGATTAGCAAGTCTTTCTAGGCATTTTGAGATCTAAATGGAACAATGTGGTTTTGCCTCGTTCACCACCAGACTGATTTTTCATTATTGAAGATTTTACTTTTGGGTTTTAAAGAGGTTGTTTTTCTTATTCTGTCCTCATTTTCTTTTTCCCCTCTTATTTCTGGTTTGGTCCACTGTGATCGATGGGGTCAACCGCAGGCGGAGCTCAACTGTGAGGAAGCAGGTATGTGCTCAGTGGGAACCAGCTGGTCTGGCTTGAAGGGTCATTCGTATCCTGCAGCTATCAACAGAACTCTGCCTGGGGCAGGACAAGCTTAAAATAACTCCATTTAGTCAGAGTGTGCTTAACAGGATAACAGTTCGTATAAAGCTGTAAATAGTGATAGTAGACCTCTTCCTACAGACTGTCCTGTATCATCCAGTCAAAACTAACTCATGTCCTACATGTCAGTGGTTTTCAGAGATTGTTAATCACCTAGGAAAAAATTGCCCCTCTTTCACCCATGAAGCAACGGGTGGGCTTGAACTACATGTTATTGGTTTGGGAGTGTGGCTACTTAACTACTAAGCCACCAGAGTTTACTTCCTACATATTTATTGTTGTTGTGTACCGTAGAGTCGGAACTGACCCGTAGCTGACCATCAGGCAGGTTTACAGAGGAAATTAACCACATAGGAGGAGATTGTTCATCCTTCTTCTGCAGAGCAGCTGGTGGATTCGAACAGTGTGCCTTTGGGATTTGCAGCACAGCTTTTTTGCCACTAGACCACCAGCTCTCCCTTCCCACATACTAGGGGCTGGTTTTGACTGTGGCAGATGATGCCAGAACTGCTTAGCATGTCACTGCTCTAAGAAAGCCTCACGAGGCCTGTATCTGGACTAGTATGTCAGTAGCTCACTGTCTTATTTTAAGTTTGCAGCTGTTGGTTTATTTATTGGTTTCTAGTCTTCTGGTTAGTCTAGATGTATTCCTAACACACGTTAAATCTGCAAAGGGAAGTCTGTAATAGGGGCAACAGGCAAGAGCTCCTGAAGTCTTCATAATCTTCAGTGTTGTATTTAAATCGTGTTATGCATATTAGGAGAGATCTTAACAACCAGTGGCATGAGTAACCCACATTTCGTGGGCAACCTGAATAGTGCTCATGCTTGTTTAAAACAAATCCATTACAGTTGTTTTGTTGTTGTTTTACAGTGGCAGACTTGACTTTGTAATTATGCTTTATGAAAAATACTGACATGATCCCATGAGCCCTAAGTTCATACCAGCTAAGCAGTTGGCAGTTAGCAGGGTGCAGGTGAAGAGAACCTGGAAGTACCTTTGTCTGTGCGTGGAGGGATAAACAGGGCTTTACAGAACCATCTTGAATGATACACGGCGGCTGCAGCCATAGGGAGAGGAGGAATTGTATCAGACAGGAGCTTTCGCTGGTGTCCGCCGTCTCTAGCTTCAGCCGTCTTCTCAGCTGATCTGGCTGCTCCGGGGGAGTGGGCGGGCCAGCTGGGGAACAGGGATGGCACAGCCCTGCTTGTCGGAGCTGGTCTGTCACTGTTTCCTCTTCCTCTCTGCTGCAGATCTGTTAGTGAGAACACCATCTGATGCAATGAGGGACTTTTTCTATCCTAAAAATTCCACTGTATGTACTCTTCCTTTCACTTATTCTGTTTCTTCCTTTTTCTCCCTTATTTTCATTCAAAAACTGAAGAAGAACAGAGCCCCTGCCAGGTAGAATTTATTGACTTTAGAATTAAGAGGTAGAATGTTGAGCCGTTGCCCATCTTCTGACCAGGAACAGAATTGGTCTTAACGTTGATTCCTTTTAGTTCCCGGACTAGGACAGGGGCCTCCTGCTTAGAGATAGAGGTGTGTGAGAGCTTTGCAGCCTCCCCTCTGGCAGCAGGAGTGTGGAGACAGTGGTTTGAGGTGGGAAGGCAGTCATCCTGTGCTGACAGGGGCCCGGCTCTCTGGCTTGGACTCCCCGGACATTGGAGTGGAACAGCACCCATCTCGCTCACATCCTGGTGAACCTAAGCAGTTGTAGGTGAAGCATATTTACTTAGTTTTAAATTTTAGATTAAGGGAGCTCTGGTGGCCTTGTGGCAAGAAGCTGTGCTGCAATCCTGAAGGCACATGGTTTGAATCCACTAGCTGCTCCATGGGAGAAGGATGGGCGATCTCCTCTCATGTGATTAACTGCCTCTGAAAACCCGCCAGAGGGTCAGCTATGGGTCGGTTCCGACTCAGTGGTACACAACATTAAAAAAAATTGTGTTTAAGTAGCTTTGATGACACAGGCTGTTAAGTGTTGTGCTGCAGGCCCAAAAGTTGTGCCTCTCTAGAGGTTTGGGAGAGAGATAGTCCCTTTCCATTAAGATTTACAGCCTTGGAAACCCAACAGAGGGTCTTGTGAGTCTGAATCAACCTGACGACCACGACAAGATTTGTGTAGAAGCTCCAGGATACATAAGAAATCTCCATCAGGTGGATTTTCATCTTGCTGCCCCAGTGTCTCTCCAGTAACTCAAATCTGATGGTGGTTCAGTATAAGAGTTTTCCTCAGATGGACAGGCGGGTAAAGAAATAGGCAGTTTGGGAGATAAGTAATTGTGTGTGTAAGTAATTAGGAGGTAAATATTTATTTATGGCAATTCAGCCAAACAAGATGAAAAATCTGGTAGCATTTATTTTTTAGTTTTCTTAATGGGTTTAGCAAAGGCTAGGTTTAAATTATCCCAGATTTAGCAAAAATTAGGTTTAAACTATTCCAGGTTTTTTAAACAAGATACCTAGGTTATTGCTTCTAGGCTTCTAGGCCTTCCTCATTCCCTTCAAGTTCCAGCATTTTCTCTCTCCTGATTGTTCCTTCTGTATCTCCTCTGCTGATTCTTTCTCTGTTCTCTTAGACATTTTTCCTAGGCTTGGCCCTTTCTGGACTTCTCTCCATATTATTATCTTGTTGGCTGTCTTCCCTTAGGTAAATCTTTCTCTCCTTCCGCTTAACCCATTGCCATCAAATTGGAGCCAAGTCACAGCTCACCCTCCAGAGGGTTTCTAAGTCTGTGAATTGTATAGGAAGAGATTGACCGTCTTTGATGATTAAAACCATCCGAGAGACATGGCCTTTGGGTTAGCTCAGTTCCCTACAGACCACACCAGCAGAGCTCCCTCAGCATGCTGCTTCTCTCTGAGGCTGTCATTCTAGTCTTTGAATCTAATTCCTAAGTTGGCTGACTGGACATTGAATCTTTCAAGTTGGCATTCTATTCTGCACATCTGTTTCTTCACCTTCCTCACCACTCTTGAACTTCCTTAGCATCTCCCCTAACTTACCTATTTCCCTTTTGCGAGATCCCTCCTAATTTTCAATGCCTCTGACATACTTTGGACATGTTGTAAGAAGGAACTGGTCCTTGGAGAGGGACATCATGCTTGGTAGGGTGGAGGAAAGACCCTCTATGAGGTAGATTGATTGAGTGACTGGGGTGATCGGGATGGTTGTGTCAGAGACAATGAGATTGGCACAGGATAGAGCAGGGTTTAGGGCTTTTGTACATAGGGCCTCTATGAGTTGTAGGTGACTTGATGGCACATAACAACAGCAACTGAGGATTCAAATCTTATCCCTGACCTCTTTCTGTTTGTCCTCTCATAATGCATGTTGAATCAAGTGTTAGGAATTTTCTCCTTTGGTGAAAACAAAATTCTGTCAACGATATTAAAGAACTAGTACTTGACAAGAAACTTTAACCCTCTCACTCATGAGAAAGTCTGTCAAACTACAGCCTGTCGAGGAGTTATCGGTGCCTCCTGATTGTTCACTCCTGCAGCCCTCTGGGTTCCTGCTCTCCTGTGTTTCTAACTCAGGTCTGCCACCTTCCCACTCTCGGTTTGTTGCTAATCCATGCACACTGGAATAAAACACTGCTCAGTCTTGGTAATTAACTTTGGAGTAGACCGTTATGATCCATAGTTTTCATTGCCTGGTTATTAGAAGCAGATTGCTGCCTCTTCTTTCTTAGTCTAGATGTTCTAGTCTTTCTTAGTCTAGATGTTCTGCTGAGACCAGTTCAACATCCCAGCGACTCACATGTCCCCTGTAACAGACCTGTGGTGACTGCATGTGAAGTATGTTGGTTAGGAATTAAACCGACCAGTTCAACATCCCAGCGACTCACATGACTGCATGTGAGGTATGTTGGTCAGGAATTAAACTGACCAGTTCAACATCCCAGCGACCCACATGTCCCCTCTAACAGACCTGTGGTGACTGCATGTGAGGTGTGTTCATCAGGATTTAAACCAACCAGTTCAGCATCCCAGCGACTCACATGTCCCTTCTAACAGACCTGTGGTGGCTGCACATTAGTCAGAAATTAAGCTAACTTTTGCATGGAAAGTGAAAATTCTGCCTTTGAACCACCATCACTCTTAATCTGATTAGATAGAAAGTTGGCCTAATTGTTCTTAAAGACCCTCTTCCAACCTTGAAATAAAATGAACAAAATATTACAAAAATAGAATTAAACTGAGGGGGAGAGATAGAGATCAAGGAGTCAACAGAGGTGATGAATCAAAACATGATAAGAAACTGCATCAAATTTGACACATTTTTAAAAAACTGGAAATAGAAATATCATTCAATCCCGCAATCCCAGTGCTAAGTATAGATCCTGAAGGAATAAGAGCTATGACATGAACAGATGTATTAATGTACATGTTCATTGCAGCATTACTTAGAATAGCAAAGAGACAGAAATAATCCAAGTGGTTAGTGAACAAACAGATAAACTTATATGTTCACATAATGAAGTACTTTGCAGCTCTGAGAAATAATACAGAATTGGATAGACACTGTGTAACATGGATGCATTTAATTTTGCCAAGTCAAATAAGTCAGTCATAAAAGAATAAATATATATAGGACCGTTATAAAAAAGCTAAAGAAAGATTTATGCACAGAAATAATTATTACTGGTTGATGCAAGGACAGGAGTAGAGGCAGAGTCGAATGAAAATTAGTTAGTAGATAATAGGCATTAAGAGGATGATCAGCACAGTATTACTAAAGAAAGAAAAGGCACAGAGAGGAATAGAAAAATTAATGGAAATCAGAATCATAGGAAGGGAATGGGAAGAGTGATATTACATTACAGATCATGAAATTACTTCTAGAACAAAGAGTTTGAATGATGAAATAAAAATCTGCTTACTTTGTTACACCTTCATGCAAATCACAATTTTGAAAATGGTTTAAAAAATATAAAGGCAAGAAAGAAAAGTTGCACGGTTTAGCTGTATGCAGAGTTAATGGTGACGCCTTTGTGCGCACTACCTGAGTGCAGTGGCTCATCATGGGACATTCATTTGATGCTTAGAAACATCATAGAGAGAGAGAGAGAAGGGTAGGAAGAGGATCTGGCACCTGGTGATTTTGCCCAGTTTTTGCTCACGCTTAAAAGAGGGCACTGGGAGCACACTCTTCTGAGATCAGGCGCAATCAGGGTTGTATGGCCGTCGACTAGCATGTTGTTCTGCAGGTTAGTTAATAGGTCTTCTGGGATCCACCTTGCCAGCCACAGATTATCCTTCTGGAATCAACTGATGTGCTGGTGGTAACCATCAGCTTGCAGGTTCATGTCTTTGATTCCCAACTTCTTGCCAAACCCTGCATACTTCCCCCTAAGTAGGCATTGCTATCTCATTTCCCGTAAGTCCATGCTGTATTTTGCTCTTGTGTAGCCTGTGAGCTTCCCAGCCTGCCTTCTTCTGCATCTTTGTATAGTTAATTCCGGGTAATGAACACCCACCTTACTGACGGCTTGTACTTGTCTTTCAGTATTATGTAAATTTGCCCTCACTTTGAAGTGTTTGAGGCAAACCCTACTCAGCAACAAATTCTTCATCACTGTCACTTCATTTGCTATGTGTGCAGTTATTAAGACCTGGAACAGGCTTCGAGTCATCTGTTCTTGTGCTGACCAAAACCAAAACGCACCCACTGCCATCGTGTCGGTTCTGACTCGTAGGAACTGTCTGTCAAGTATCCAAGATATGAATCTTTATGGGAAAGAACTACCCATCTTTCTCCTATGGAGCGAGTAGGTGGTAGGTTCAAACCACCAACTTTCTGGATACATATCTGCTACCCTGCGAGGGTGAGATGAAGCTAAATAAAAACAGTTATGTGTCTATTCTTACTTATTAGCAAAGTCAACATAAAGTTATGCTTGGGCAATGATCTCCTTCATGTTGAGGGACGCTGCCTGGGTTCAAGTCCTGGCTGTGCCACTTACCATCTGCGTGACCATTTAGGGCCAGGAAAACCTGAAAAAAAATACCCTCATATTTCCCTACTGTGACTGTTCACTCTTAATAAATGAAAAATAGAATAGCAGCCCCTTCACCAGCATAATTTTAGAAAGGAGGGGGGAGTTTTGTTTTTCTTATAGTGGATCCCACTTTGTTCATGATGACCAAGGAATGAGGACCAAACGTCTTCCTTCCCAATCACCCTGGGCTGGCCAGTGAAGTCCGTGGAACCGACGCAAGGGCAGATGCTGGCCGCCTGGCTAGAGAGCTGGAACAGACAGGTCTGAGGGCCAAAGGGATGGGCGTTTGCATTGGCAAGACCTATTGACCTCAGCTCACCCTGGCACCCACTGAATCCCATTGGCAGCATCCCTGGCTCCCAGCAAGGGTGAGAGCTAGAGAGCAAGCCAGTACTGTCCTCAGTCTGATTTCATGAGGCCGCGCTGCTTCCTCAGTAGTGACCAGACCCCTTGGCTACCTGAAAATTCAGAGCCAGGATTGGGGAACAGACAGGCCTGGAGAAAGGGCACACAGGTCCCATCCTGCTTGAGACTTTAGTCTCTGTCCTTCACTTCTAAAGTCCTTTCCACTTTCCGGCAGCTTCCATACCCCTCTCTCTGACTTCCTTGTTCTCCAGGACTGAACTGTTGTGGTTTAACTGCATTATGAAAAAGCCTACTGGACGTTAGTGATGTTTGGTGTGCACACCGGGCATTACGTGCCAAGGTCTTATGATGCAGTTTGAGTGGTGGTGGGAGGGACCCTGCCTGAGTTTTAAGATCTGGCTCTGCCACTTGCCATCTGTGTGCTGTTGCTTACCAGCTGTTTAACCTTTCTAGGGCTTCCATTTCCTTGTTTATAATATGAAGATAATAATACATAGCCCATTGGGTTGTAACAGGACTAAACCTCTAAAGAACTTAGTCTATGGCCCAACACCTCCACAAATTCCTCTCTAAGTGGAAGCACTAATTTTCATGTGCCAGTAGAAAATGCTATTCTCAGCACCATCCATTCTCTCTCTCTCTCTCTCGGTTAGGGCAAGTTGAGGGCCAAAAAAGTTGAATGACTTGAGCAAGGTCATGTAGCAAATGGCAGAGCAAAGAGTCATCTTGAGGTCTTGCGCCTAGGCTTAGTACTAGTGAGTCCCTTTTGTTTCTAAGAGCTTTTCTTCTCCTTCCTACCTTTTATGCCAAGAAAGTGTCCTACCTAGAGCTTCCTTTGGTGCTTGCAGCTGCCTTCTGTGGCTGTTAGACAAATACCTGTGATGTCTGAGGCTTCATGGCCAGCCCCGAACATCCAGGAACCTGCATGGATAGGATGTGCCCTTGGGAAGGTTGAACTGCAGTGGTGTCAAATGCAAATATTTCCATCTTCACAGTTAATTAACATCGAAATCAAAGTGAGGCAAAATAGAGGGCACTGTGGTCCCGTAGACAGGGATTCTGACCCCTTTGTGGAGTCTGGGAAAGGGTCCCTGTGGAAGACTATTTACACTGAGACCTCATGGCTGCCTAGCAGTTTGCTAAAAGAAGAGACAGAGAGTCGTGGGTAAGGAGCACATTCTGGCATGAAGAGCAGCTCATAGCCCGAGGCGAAGGCAGAGTTCTCTGAGGAACAGAAAGGCAGCCAGTGTGCCTGCACCAGACAGATGGTGTGGGAAGAGTGGAAAGACATGAAAGGGGAAGCAGAGGCGGAATCCAGGGCAGGCAGGGCTATGTAAAGAGAGCAATGGGATTTCACTGAGCGATTTTAACCTAGAGAGTCGATGATGAGAATTGCCTTTTAAAAGAGCACCAAGTGTTCAGTTAGTGAAGCGCAGATACTAACACTGGATTGATACAGAGAAGGTTATAGCATGGTCTCTGTACAATGACAACTTGCAAAATCATCAAGCGTTCCCTAAAATTAAAAAATAATAACAGGAAAAGACCACCCAACCACTGCGCAATGGAAGACGAACATGGATTGGAGGACAGCAAGGATGGGAGCAGGGACACACTGATTGAAATAGCGATAGCTTCACCTGCGTGAGGGCAGTAAAGATGGAGAGAATTGAGAATAGATTTAAAAGACAAAATGTGCAGGTTGGTTGAGTGGCTGAAAATGGGGAGTGAGTTAGGGATAAAAGATGATATGATCAGTTCAGTTCGTGAGGCTAAGGTGTGTACATAGAGTTCAGGTCCATGGTGGCGTGAGTGCTCTTGTGCTGGGAGGAAAGGCTGCTTCTCCATGGGCTAGCCACTGATCCGGCCAAGACACGTTCCCTCCGACCCCGGGCCATCCCTGTTCAAAGATTCTAATGCTGGGTTTCTCTTTGGCTTTTCAGGATTCCAGCCAGGCAATTCCTCTGGTGGTAGAAAGTTGTATCCGGTTCATCAGCAGACACGGTAAGTAGAATTACAGCCTTGCCCATATTTGTGCAAAGATTGGAAAGGACTTCCAAGAATTCTTTGTCAACGAAGAATAGAGGTTGGCTTTCCATCCTGACGCACAGTAAAGGAATAAAATCTTTGTTTGGGTGTTTGCCATCTCAGAATGGCCACTCCTAAACATTCAGACAAAGATAATTGTATGTTTTGACCCAAAATGCCAGTGCCACTCACCGTGCCCTCCCTTTTCTAGCTTGAGAGTGAATTCTAAATTACAGCTGTCGTGTGAGTAAGTACAGTTAGCACTACGTGGCGGTAGCGATTTGCCATTACTCACTGTCTTTGCACATGTAGATATCTCCCACTGCACAGAGCTCACCCTTTATAACATTGACTTTCTGCATCAGGCTAGCTTGAGACTCCTTGTCTAATGTGGCGTTGCTTCCTAATAGCATTCAGTTTGTGTTCTGGTTTGATCTTACTCAATTCAATCTCCCCAAGAGCTCAGTGAGCAAATGGTCTTAAAGCTGTAGCCACCATTTGAGAGGCTACAGGGCTGGCTGGCTGCTGCTGCTCGTGCCGAAGTCAAGCCATGCTGTCTCTTGTTTGTGCCTAGCCAAGTCTCATAAACTTCCCTCACCAGCTACTGGTCTGGTTGGCTAGAATTAAGGAGTGGAGATAAAATGCCAGAGCATTGATATTTCCAAGAGTTTAGAAAGCACAGATGTCTGTGATTGAGATAATAGCGATTTCTAAGAATCAGACATCAGAAATTGTTCCTAAGATAGTGTTCTGTCTGGTAACAGGACAAGGCGCAGAAATGGTTCTCTGGAAAATGAGGCTAAAGACAGTGGCTGGTCAGAAGTCAGAGGCAGCTGCTTCCCCCTGCCCCCCCCCCCAGCCTTCCTCTTTTCCTATAAGCTGAGGACATGTATTATTTGGATGCTTTTTTAGAATAGTAATTATCTTGGGATGTTCATGGCTTATCTCATTGTAATCAACTACAATTTCTTAGTCTTATCTCCTTTCACTTGAAGTAACAACCTTGTATATCACTCTGTTGAACAGTCAACAAATATTTATCAAGCCTTAATCAGAGCTGAACACCATGCATTACTAAGTAGGGAAACAGAAACAGTACTGTCTTTCTGTGGCTTCCTAATGCACTTGGGACAAAATAAGTAAGCATGTGAAGTTTAGTAAAAGGAGGTGATCACATAAGAGAGTGCTGGTGGCCTAGTGGCAAGAAGCTGCACTGCAATCCCAGAGGTACATGGTTCGAATCCACCAGATGCTGTGCTGGAGAAGGAGGGGTAATCTCCTCCTGTACCAATCAGATCCCATTTGATGGTGTACACACACACACACACACACAAAATAATCAAAGAAAAGAAAAAATTAAAAAGAAAAAAAAAGGTGACCACAGTAATTTAGATTAGCGGTGTTAGAAATTTCACAGGATACTAATGATAGTATCATTAGTCAAGAAGTCGACAAAGAGAAGTCCAAACGTAGATTAGGGAAGAACTATTTGTGCTCAAGGGACAATAGGGAGAAGAGAGTCTAAACACCAATTTGTATATCTACGAGTTTCATTCATTGATTTATTCATCGAAAAAGTATATGTGATCTTGTGTGCCAAGTAAACATTTCTGCCCCCATGAATCTTTTATTCTACTGGACAGATAAACATAATCGGTTGATAAGTTACTATGCAGGATGTCTAATGTTGCTGGGTAACATACAAGATGAAACTGAGGGATGGCATGGGGAGAAGACACTGACTTAAACGATTTTCCAGGGGAAAGCCAAGGGAATATTAGGGAAGATTGTTTTGTGACGAGGGACCTCGAGGGCAAAGGACAAGGAACGTGCTTGGTGTGTGTAAGGAATAGCAGGCAAAAGCCCAGAGTGGCTGGTGAGTCACAAGTCAAGCGACAGATGGGGCTGGGCGCACACTCCTAGGTCCAGGCTGGCAGTTGTTGACCGAGTAGATGCTTGGGTTTTATCCTGAGTGAGAGGGGGTGGTGGCATTAGAGAGTTTGGAGCAGAAAGTGGTCATTGTAAGGAATCCTTGGCTGCTGCGCAGAGTAAGACCAGAGTGGAAGCAGGCAGAGCGGGTAGAAGGCTAATGCTGCAGGAGTGAGGGGAGACCAGACTGGTGGCTTGGACCAGGGCTTGAGCCATTGAGGTGGGCCTGGGACAGGTTCCAGATACGATATTTTCAGAATGTAGTTGCTGCTCATAACCCCCCCCCCCATTTTTTCAGCTGAATTGATTTTTTCCCCCAACTGGGACAACTTAGCATATTCTGAACTCCCTAAAATTTACAGTTAAATGTGTTGTATTATATGCCTATAATGGCAGGTTCAGAACCCTTGTCAATCTCAAGGGCCTACCACATGGAAAATGCTGGGAATTTTACACCTTTATACTCTGTTCATATTTTCTAGGAAGGAGTTACTGCTGCAGTCTCCATTTTAGAAATCTGAGGCCCATTGTCCCTGTGACCCAGGAAAGCTTAAAAGAAAGGCAGAGATGTAAGAACAACTGAGGCTGAATCATGTGTCTTGGCTTTTATTAAAAACAAAACCAAACCCCAACAACCCATTTTTTTAAAGTCAGGAGCAAAGTAAAAGTAATATGAGCAGGAGGTGGCTGTGGTAGCAATCATGGAAAAATCCTCTAGGAGAGCAGCTTTTGGCAACACATGGGTCCAGTGCAAAACAGACGTTTGTGCCATTTCCAAATAACTCATCCAAGTAGCGTCAGATTTATGCTTCTATATTATCATGTGCACACAAAAGAAGTAGGGGGGGAATTTAAAAAAAGGATGTGTGATGTTGATCATGTGAGGGCTGACCGGCATTGTAATAGAAAGCCAACTGGTTTTCCCATTTGCTTTCTAGAAACTTCATTTCTTAGTGTTCCTGCTTTCAGAATCATCAGATTAGATGCTATGAAAATTTAGTCCGTTAAATAAGAACACACAGTGGCCTTCTAAACCACAGTTACTTTTTTGTTTATCTGAGTGTCTATTTGTAACCTCTTTTAAAAATTTTTATTTAAAAGTTTGCGAACCATGTTGGGTGTTTTCAGTCATTGATTAGTACACATTCTGTCCCATATCACGTAAAACACACAGTGTCTGATCATCCATTCATTCCACGTTGTCTTTTGTCACCCACATTAATACATGTTTATTGTCTCTTTGTTTTCTACTCTTCCCTTTTCTTCTCCCTGGTAACTATACTAGAATCCTTCCCTCTGGATATGTATGTAAATTTTTCTACAGCTTTTTATGAAAATGGTCTTTTTTATACAGTATTTGTCTTATTATGACTGACTTATTTCACTCAGTATAAGGTCCTGCAGGCTTTTTTATAGTTTATTTTCTCTATGTTTTGAGGGATATATGCAGTAGCACATGCACCAATTCAATGTCTACACATATAATTCAGTGGCATGGATTGCATCCCTTGGGTTGCATCTCCATTCTCACCTTCCTTTGTCAAATCGTGTCTCCTCTATTAACTTGGACTCTCTAGATTCTTGAGGAAAAAGCAAATCAGAGTGAAAGAACTGAATGTGTCTCAGCCCCACTGCTTGGTTTCCATTCCCCTCACCAGCTAATTCCTCCTTGTCCTGGACCCTGAGCAATGACTGCCTTTCGTTAACGGTCTACACTACTAAGAAAAAAATTAGATTTAAAAAAAAAAAAAGCTCTTCTCTTACGAAGCGAGGATGTCCCAGTAACCTGCACTCTGATGTGACCATTTCCTTCAATTAAAGCTGCATTTTTTATGAGTACGTGGCTATTTCTCCAAATGTAAATACTTGTTTATCTTTTATGTCTGAGCAGTATTTCTGCCTTTTACATCCCATTGATGAAACTAATATGGTGTTATTGTGTTGTTACTCATGGGTTGTTTGTGACATTGCCTGCATCCTATGAGACATCCTATGATGACATCCTAAATATTCTAGAGATTCCCATAGAGGAGCAGACAATTTGAGTCCTATACAAGCCTGGAAATTACATTTTCCCCTCTTAGTTCTTACGGTTGTTTCAACTGAATTCAAGATTTCATCCCTGGACTGTATGGTTTACCTACAAAGGACGGATGCCCCCTCCTAAAGATGGTAGCCCCAAAACAGTGAACAAAATGTAGCATAGCTGCGTTTTCTTTTCCTAATTTTGTTTTATATTTCTCTGCCTTGTCAAGGTGTTTTAAAGGATTGTGCCCTGAAAGCAGGGTTTTGACAGAATGCCCAAGATTGAGATGCAGGATTCTCTCAATCAGAGATTGAGCCCAGCTCCTGGACTCAGCACTAATGCAGAGATTTCTTAGGGGTTTTGCAGTTTTCTTTGTGATCATATCCCTGTTCAGATCAGCAGAGGTGGCCTCCACCCTCTGTGTGTTCATTCCAGAAGACCCCCATGAGCTTAGCGTGGTAGCCAGGTGTGGGGATGGAGTGCAGAGTTTCAATCCGAAGAGCTGGCTTTGAGCCCACACAAACCCTGGGCCAGTCATAGCGCATCAGTCCCCTCATCTGGGAAAGGACAGCCCTCTTGAAATGAACCGGTTTCATGAAGACAGCAGTTGATTTCTAGGAAAGCGTGTATTAGCAGCAAGTATTGTTTTGTTTCTTTTCTTGTGGTAAAACTGTATGTAACAGACGTAATGGTCCAGTTACTATAGAGCAGAGATGAAAAGGGTAAGGAGTCAAAGAAACCAGATAACTGCAAGGGGCCAATTCAGGAGGATGTTTATGGGAGTGGTAAAATATTGTGGAAAATGTAATCAACTCCTCTGAACAGTATATGGTAGTTGTTAAATGGGACCCTAACTTGCTATATAAACAACTTTCACAAAAAAACACTAAAATATTATTTTTCTTTTAAAAGTGTATATATAGATACTGGTATAACATAAAACATTTGCCAGTTCAACATTCTTTATATGCACAGTCCCCGACACATGTCACATTTATCACCTTTTGCACCCATTACCACCATCCAATTCCAAATTATTCCCCACCATTAACAAAAATGCAAAGGCCTACCAGTAGCACCCTTTCTCTCCTCTCCGCCTTCACACCCCTGGTAAGTAATCTCGAAAGCACTTTGATTTCTGTATGCTTGTCTGTGGTAGATATCTTGTGTAGGTGGGATCATACAGTGTTTGATTTCCTTATTCAGCCTTTTTGAAAAGTGCCCCCCCTGGTCTCTAGCGTCTTGCCTGCCATGCCTTTGTTGAAGGTCTTGACGCTGGGTGCTAAGATGACATGAGGGTCGTCTGTCCGTCCCACTTTGCAGGTGGGAACAGAGAGGCAAAAGCAGGGGAAGGGACTTTCCTTGATACCCAGTGATCACTCCAGTGATTGGTTTTCCTAACATCCTTGGGCATCCTTCCTCTTTAGACTTGAGGACCAGATCCTCAGGGAGACTGACTGTGCGCTGGGGAGAGACACGGTCCAGAAAGCCTGGAGCTGACTTTGTTTTTCCTTCTCTTTGACCCCTTTTCCTGGTCTCTTTTTCCAGGACTGCAGCACGAAGGAATTTTCCGGGTGTCAGGATCCCAGGTGGAAGTGAATGACATCAAAAACGCCTTCGAGAGAGGTAAGGGGATAGGCCGGCCTGGCCCTCCTCCCTACTCTTCTTTTGACTCCCCCCTGGAGGTCCCCAGAGTTAGGAAGCCAGCTTGTCCCATCTTCAGCCAAGACACCTGCTGCCCTGTAGACCCTGGCGTCATGCCCACGCAGGGAGAAACTACTGGGGCACACCCCAGCTCCGTCCTTCCTCCTTGGCCCCATTCACCTGCCTCTCTCCTGCGATGATCTCCGAAACCCAAGAAGTTAACTATGCTGGCTGGGCGGTTTATGGCTTCAGCCAGAGCCCTTGGTGGCAGTTAATACCAGGGCTAATGCGCCTGTTCATCGGAGCCCATTTATTATCTTGTGGGCAATTAAGGTAATGGGCAAGCTTTGGCAATTTCCGTCACTGTAATGGATATATATAGTTTCAATTTGAGGTTGGTCCTATCATTAAATCTAATTACATCTGATATGAAATTTTCCATAGGGAGCTCCGGCATGATTGTTCTCCTGTAAGTAGGTGTCCTTTGTTGCTGGCGGGAGGGGCTCGCCTCCCCGGCCTCGTTTTCCTCCCCCAGGAGCTCTGGCCCAGCCTGCTTGCTCTTAGGATTCTTGAGAGAGAGGCAGATGCCACTGCACAGCCCAGCCCAGCCCATAGGGAATGTCCCTCAGCTAGTCTGGCACAGAAGAGCTTACTGAGCTGCTGAGCTCTCCTGCCCCTCCTCTGGCCCCAGGGCCCCTGACCCTCAGTGGCCTTTGCTTGATCTGTTTCCTGGTCCATTCCACATGGAGCCATGATGCTGGACAGACAGCTGATAGACTAGGACTAGGACATAGATAGGTCACCCCTTCCTCTGCACTGCTGCATCCCCCTCCATATTTTTTGCCTTTCTCATTTTTTCTATTTTGGGACCTTGCTCTTCCCCAGGAGAAGACCCCTTGGCTGGAGACCAGAACGACCATGACATGGACTCCATAGCTGGTGTGTTGAAGCTTTATTTCCGGGGGCTGGAACACCCCCTCTTCCCTAAGGACATCTTCCACGACCTGATTGCCTGCGTCAGTACGTACTCATGTGGCCTCAGACTGGATTCTGGGCACAGCCCTGGAGGTTCCTCCCAAATCATGTAGCACGGATAAAAAAAATGTCCATGGGGCCTTTGTTCTGACGCACTTTTCGGTAGCATTTCCCCTTTTCCATAAGGAGTCTAGAATCACCAGTCAGGACTCCTGGCCTTTCTTCTTTCTGACTCGCCTCAGTCTTAAATGTTTTTGCATCTCCTTCAGTAAAATGCCTTTTTGTTCGTATAAAAGATAGAGCCCTTTTCAATGATTTGGTGCTTATACATTAGGGCTTGTGCTTTTGTGGTGAAAAAGCCTAGCAGTGAGGGTTCCCCATCTAGTACTTTAACAGGTTGCCACACACTTAAATTGACGACTGTGCTTAGAAGCGCTTTTTTTTTATTTACTATGTATTACCATCATTTGTGGCAATGTGTTAAGCAAAGCATGAAGGTTCTTGCTAGATATGTTAGTATGTGCTCTTCTGGGACTTCAGGTCCTCTGTGTATTTGTAGGTAGTAATATGGCATTTTCCCATTACTTGCTTTATCTTGTTGTTATGTACAGTTGAGTCAAACTGACTCATCATTGACCCTCCAGTGAGTTTTCAGGGGTAGTTAATCACACAGGAGGAGATTGCCTGTCTTTCTCCCACAGAATAGCTGGTGGGTTTGAACTGTATACCTTTGCATTAGCAATGCAATTCCTTACCACTAAGCCACTAGAGCTTCCTCATCTTTGTTAGATAAACCCCAAAATTTGGGGCTTAAGTTATTTCTAGCTAACAATACTGGAACACCCTGGTTCTTCCCGTTGGGTCCTTCTGGAAGCAGACCCACCTGAATGATGGTGCCAGTGACTGGAGTGGGTAGTGCCTTTGCAGCGATGAATTCCCCTTCCCTGGGCAGCCACAGTCCTCCTGGCCCCGACTTCCCTATGACTCAGTCTATGCCTCATATGCCTATTCCTTTCTTGGTTATTCTGAGAGAGAAAGGCCCTGGAGCATGCAGGAGACTTAACTGCCCTGCTTTGTCATTCGTTGATGTGCGCCTTTATGAGAGTATGAACTTTGATGACTGTTGATAGTTACAGAAAGGCTTCAGGCCTTTTGTTCACAGGGTCGCTGTGAGTCGTGCTTGACTCCACAGCAATCAGCAACAACAGTGACAATAAGGTATGTAGATGATTAAATATATGCATTCTTCTGGCTGTGCCTTTCCCCAGAACTGAGTCTAGATAACACATCTTAAACTGAATTGAGTTACCAGATAGTACTAGTTATGTACAAGATGACTTGGTTAACCTGTTCTTTTCTTGATGTGTACACATCCTTTTAATCCACTCTTCTCAGTTCTTTCTTACCCAAAAGCACATACCAACAAATCAAATAATATCTGTAGGTACAGTAGTGGTGTTTGGGTTGGCTGCCATGGCCTGTCCACAGTACACCGGCCAGGCCTCTGCTCTGGTCTTCCTAGGTTATCAGTCCTCTCAGGGACTTGCCAGCGATCTCTCATAGCTCATGCTCACTCTAGATAAGGGAAGGAAAGGTGAGTCTAACTTCCCCAAAGGATGAGGTGCTGTGCCCAGCCTCTCCTTCCCCACAGGCAGGCCCTCCAGGACAGATATTGAGCAATCACAGAGTTATGCATAGTCCCTTGTCTATGTGTTTTTTGTAAGAAGAGTAGGGTACACACCCAAACTCTTCTGTGCCCATGACACATACAGCCTGAGTCCTGCGTAGTTAATGCCTGGAGCTCATCACATACAGGTCTCAGAAGCCCCACAGACATGTTCCGTGCCCATGGTGCATACACTAAGTCCTGCCGAGTTAATGCCTGGAGCCCAGCATATGCGGGTCTCGAGCCCCACAGGGATATTCTATGCCCATGACAACTACACCCAGAGTCCTGCATAGTTAATGCCTGGAGCTCAGGTTGTGCAGATCTCAGAAGCCCCACAGGCATGTTCTGTGCCCATGGCACATACACTAAGTCCTGCCGAGTTAATGCCTGGAGCTCAGCATATGCGAGTCTCAGAAGCCCCACAGACATGTTCTGTGCCCATGGCGCATACACTCGAAGTCCTTCAGAGTTAATGCCTGGAGCTCAGCATATGCGCGTCTCGAGCCCCACAGGGATGTTCTATGCCCATGACACCTACACCCAGAGTCCTGCATAGTTAATGCCTGGAGCTCAGGTTGTGCAGATCTCAGAAACCTCACAGGCATATTCTGTGCCCATGGCGCTTACACTCTTAAGTCCTGCATAGTTAATGTCTGGAGCTCAGCATATGCAGGTCTCAGAAGCCTCACAGGCATGTTCTGTGCCCATGGTGCATATACTCTGAGTCCTGTGGAGTTAATGCCTAGAGCTCAGCATATGGGGGGGGGGGGTCTCAGAAGCCCCATGGGATGTTCTGTGCCCATGACATATACACTCTGAGTCCTGCGAAGTTAATGCCTGGAGCTCAGCATATGTGGGTCTCAGAAGACCCATAGGCTGTTTTATGTCCATGGCGCATACACTCTGAGTCCTGCAGACTTACTGCTTGGAGCTCAGCATGTGCGGGTCTCAGAAGCCCCACAGGCATGAAAGCCTTTCCCTGCATGGCTTCACCTGAATGTTCTCCCTGTTCCACCTGCAGAGAGGAAGGAAGGGACTTCTGAACCTGACTCTCTGGGGTCTCAGTCACAGGGGAGAATAACATGGTCGTCTTCTTTCAGCAATGGACAACCTTCAGGAGCGAGCACTGCACATCCGGAAAGTCCTGCTGGTCCTGCCCAAAACCACTCTGATCATCATGAGATACCTCTTTGCCTTCCTCAATCAGTGAGTAGTGTCTCCACGGAGCTTTGGCGTGGGTTGCTGGAAGTTCACATGAGGACCCACCTGTATCTGTGTGTTTATCCTAACTGAACACTGATCACACCTGCTGTGAGAGTTCTAGGCTGTAAAAAAGCCCTGAGAGACAGAAGCCCTGACATCGTAGCTTACCTTTTAGACAAGGAGGAGAGACGGATAATAGCAGATTATAGTCCTAAGTGTGTTAGTGAAAAAATATAGAAGGGTCAGAAAGAGGAGAGAGAATTCAGAGTCTAAATGGGGCAAGAGGCGAGAGATGGGATGGTGAGGGAGCCTCTCTGAGAAGTGTCCGAGTTTCATTCAGCCTAAAGGAAGTGAAAGAGGAGATACAGTATTGGGCTTGGATTAGGGAAGCAGTCGAGAGGTTTTAAGCAAAAGCACATGCAGCCCTAAGTTACATATTTATTCTGAACCCCTCCAGTTGCTGTGTGGAAGGTGTACTGGAGAAGATCAGGAGACGTAGAGAGACCTATGAAGAGGTGTTGTAGTGTCTAGACATGACGTGGCTTGGCCTGGCGTGGTGCTCAGGGAGGTGACGGGGAGCAGTCAGGTTGGGGTATATTTTGAGCTTAGCACAGACAGGACCTGATGATGATTTGCATGAAGAGGGTGAAGAAAGAGAGATTTAGATTGCCGCACAATTTGACATTTTTGGCATGAGCAACAAGGAGACGGTGATGCCATACAGAACATATGGAGGAAGAAATCAAGACAAATTACCAACGTGGGCACACTTATCTGAAGTCCCACTTATTTTAAGTAGACAGCAGAACAGGAATCTGACACTCCGGGAACAAGCACAGTGTGGGAATATCTGTGTGTTGGTGATATTTAGCTGAATTAGCAGCCCCTGCTTGGCACCCTTTGGGGGTACACACACCATAATTTAACCCTCCTGCTGGCCCTGCCAAGCCTTAAAGGGCTAGCTGTGCAGGCTGTTACCTCCATACAGCACATATGCTCCAGTATTTGAACCCCAATTCAGCATTTAGCTGCTTTGAATTAAAAAAATCCCTCAACTGAATTTCTTCAACATAGAAAAAGTATCTATGAAAACCCAAGAGCCAACATTGTTCTTAATGGAGAGAGGTTAAAGGCATTCCC